AAACTAGTTTTGTTACAATTCCAGGAATGCTTTCCCCGTACAAAACCTTCAAATCCATTTCCCCTGTATTACAGATTTTGCTAGATTTAAGGATTGCAAGACGTTGACTGAGAGGCTAAGCAAACAATTATTTCCCCAAAGAGTTACCAAGTCATATATTTATTAAAATTTGTGGGGTTAAATCTCAAGGGAGGTTTTAGCCTTGCTAATGTAGCTTAGATAGGCCAGGAAGAAAAGAGTGGACAGCTTAGGCTTCGGCCATCCTCCTATAGAATGGTACCCAGAGAGACCTACCCTTGAGGTCTTCTTCAGCCAAACACTAGAGGCCATTAAGATTTTACTCAGCTGTTAGTTGTATTTCCTCCTTCGTGTTGAACACAAATAAGGCAATCCTAATTTTAGTGGAAATCTTAAAGAGCTCATGTGGGCTGCTCATAGCCTAGTTGTAGTTGAGGATTCAAGGCCAAAGCCATATGGAATTATGACGGGTGAGTCTGAGCACTCAGGAAGTGTCTTGTCACATCAGCACTGATTCTTAGGGAGGCTATTGGAGCACTCCGAGTTGAAGAGTCTGGAGGTTTCATGCTGCAAGGGCCCAGTCAGTTGGAAGTTACTGCTCCCTTCCCAAGTTTCAGGTCTTATTAATAATGTCTATCAAGAAGAGCTTTCTAAACTCATGATATTATTTTTGTTCCAGTAAAAAAGCAATGTTGTTTAGCTATGAAAAAAATTAATGTTGGTTGCTCATGTCAAATTATTAATAGACACAAAGGAAAATAAATGTGTGGGTTTATTAGTCACACATGTTGCCCAGTAAGAGCCAGCATCTCTCACTCAAGAGTAAACACGTCACGTGAATCTACCTGCCTACTGCTGCCTGCAGGAATCAAAGCACTGTATGGCTCTGGTGGCAAGACCTAGGTTCAAGAATTCCATGTAGCACTTAGCTTCACTTTCTTCTTGGGACAGTGTACTTATGGTGTCATTGGGGTTGCCACAACAGGTAACCAGAAGCTGGAGGAAATATTCATTTTTAAAAACCCAGAAAAGTCTTCCCTGATAAAAATCAAGCAGCTAGTAATGGATGGAGCCAAGATTTGAACCCAAACTTTCATACTCTATAATCCATGCTTTTATTGCTTAACACAATCCTTGGAGAGTTTTTGATGGTTTGACTCTACTGATTTTATTAACTCTTCACCTCATCCAACCCACCATAAACAGAAATAACATATAGTGTGGTTTCTTTTTCTTCTTGGTTGGATGCCTGTGAACTGAAAATATTGCTTTACCCTTTTAGTTCTTCTGTTTAGTTTTTGCAAATATTTAGAATAGCCAAAATAGAGAAATACTGTTTCTCTTCCATGGAAAGTTCATTTTTTTTAAATTAATGATCTAGACCTTGCTTTCTGAGCAGCATTTACCATAGCTGAATGTAAGAATGAAATGGAGACCGTAGTATGGGAGACCAAGAATACATATGCAGAATAAATTTAGCTACACATGTTCATCCTGGGAGAAAGCATTTATGAGTATTCTGCAGAAACATTTATATGCCTATAAATAAGGTTACTTGGTTCCTTTACTTAACATGAACAGTTGATACTTTTGCAGTTAATTTATTATTGAGGGACTGCAAGAGTTAAAGATAGTAACAATCTAATTACCTGCCTATTGGATAAATACATGTCTGAAGTTGAAGTTTGCATATGGCTGTGGCCATTTCTGGAAGGGTATTATTTCTCTTTTGAGTCCTTGCCTGTTGTCACCTTTTAAGAATCAAAGCTAATTAAACATTATTGGTGTGCTACATAAGTTTCTTTTTCAAAGTTTGGCCTGCCCTGCTTCTCTGGAAAATCCTTTCTTGAGGGGGTTGTCTTCAATATAACCACTAATAGACAATTGAGCATTTGCAGAGGCCTTTTGTTTCCAGGATTTCACAATCATTGTTGTTTAATCCATAGAATATCCATGTGAGGTAGGTAGATAAACTCAAGCATCCAAATCTCCTACAGGGGAATTTTGGTGCCTGTGGGAGTATTGTGATTGGCACCGACTGTCCCTGATTTCCCAGAGGCCAGACACCTGGAGAGGCTTTGCTACAGGTCCAGGTACACACCAGAATTTTAGCACAGGGGATCTCAAGACTATGAAGTAGATACTGTCGTTCCCATTGTACAAATGAGAAAGTTAGGACTGCAGAGATGGCTCAGTTGATAAAGGCTAGTCTCACAACCAAAAACAAATGAGAAAGCTAAGGCTACCCACATTAGAAGAGCTGGGATGTAAGTCTAGTTCTGTCTGATTCCAAAGTCAGTTCTTCAACTATTATCAAATATTGCTCTAAAAATGGAGTATAAGAATGACTAAGATCAAAAACAAAATTGATAGATAGCCCATGTTGGAGAGGAGGTGGAGTAAGGGGAACACTCCTCCATTGCTGGTGGGTGTGCAAATTTGTACAGCAACTTTGGAAAACAATATGGTAGTATCTCAGAAAATTGGGAATCAATCTACCTCAAGACCCAGCTATACCACTCTTGGGCATATGCCCAAAGGATGCTCAAGCATACCATAATGACACTTGTACAACTGTATTCATAGTAGCCTTATTTGTGATAGTCAGAACCTGGAAACAACCTAGATATCCCCTTTCCCAAAGACTGGATAAAGAAAATGAGGTACATTTTACACAATGGAGTATTACTCAGCTGTTAAAAACAATGATATCATGAAATTTGCAAGCAAAAGGATGGAATGTGAAAAAAAAATCATCCTGAGTGAGGTAACCCAGACCCAGAAAGCAAGCATGGTTTGTACTCACTCATAAGAGGGTATTAACTGTAAAGTATAAAAGATAATCATGATATGGCCCTCAGACCCAAAGAGATTCAGTGACAAGGAGGGCTTAAAGGGGAGTGGGGTGCAAGTTTCTCCCTAGGAAGGGGAAATAGAATAGATTTCATCAGTGGACTGGGGGCAGGAGGAGTTGGGAACAGGAGGGATCAAGTGCGGGATGAGACTGGGAGAAGCAACTGGATTGGGGGTCAGTTGATAGGGGCGAGGTGGAGACCTAGTTCAGTGTAAAGGTCATAGAATCTACGAGAGTAACTGGAGCAAAGACTCCTAGTGATGGGGGACACAGAGCCTGAACCGGCCATCTTCTGTAACTAGGCAAGGCCTCAGCTGGAGGGATTGGAACACAAATTCAGCCACAAAACCTTTGACCTACAGCTAGTCCTACTTACAAAGTGTTCTGGGACCAGAGCCTAGCAGAATCCTCATTAAAGAGACCAGAGAGATGTCATCCAGCAACTGATAGGAGCTGATACAGAGTCCCACAGTCAAACATTGGGCGGAACTCAGGGATTTCTCTCAAGGAGGGGGAGGAAGGTTTGAAGGAACCAGAGGGGTCAGGGACACCATGAACACATGGCCCACAGAATGAATTGCCCAGGACTCATGGGGTCTTGAAGAGATCAGGTGGCCTGTAAGGGTCTGATCTAGGTCCTCTGCAAATACATTATGACCAGTAGCTTGGTGGGATTCCTAACAGAGGAAGCAGGGGGGCTGTCTCTGACCCTTTCACCTGCTTGTGGGACCTTTTTCTTCCTATTAGGATGCCTGGTTCAGCCTTGATGTGATGGTATGTGCCTTGTCTTACTGTAGCTTGTTATGCTGTGTTTGGTTGATGTCCCTGGGAAGTCTGCTGACCCAAGACAGAGGGGGTTGGTAGATCTGGGGGAAAGGGGAGGTGCAGGGGGTGGGGAGAGACTGGGGAGAGGGGAGGGAGGGGAAACTGTGTTCAGGATGTAATATCTAAGATAATAATAAATGGAATGTAATTTATAGCCTAACAAAATGCTGGGAGAACTGGAGAGAAGGCATACAAAAGATAGGTCCTTCTAAAAAGATTCATCCTTTTTATAAGGCAAAGCAATGCCATGTAAATTGTTCTTACCTACAGTATGCCTATTAGAGCTTTTCACTTTCCCTACCACTAATCATAACATCCCAAGTGAATAACATACTGTCTTGACTGGTAGTTTTGTGGGGAAATAAATTTATTTCGTTGTAATTGCTCATGTTAAAACTGTACCCTGAAACTACTAAAAAATTAGTTTTAAAAAATTAAAAGAAGTTTCAATTAAAAAAAACAAAGAAAACAAGCACATGGCAAAAGTACTCAGTTGAAACAAAAGAATCTACTGCAGTTTTCCAGGTCTCCAATCCTCTTTCAAGTCATTGCTAGTCTAGTTTCTTGTGACTTCTTTCAGATATATCCAGTGTTTGTCTTTGTACATTTGTGTTTGCTCATGTGTGTGTGTGTACATACACATATATGTACATTCTCACAAGTTCCAACTAAATCGATTGCCTTCCCTATGAATAATTAAGCCCTAAGTATATTTTTAGTTGTAGAAGTATATTCCTTGAACACAATCAGTGTTTTATGACATTCTCTGTAAAATTATTTGTGTATAAATAATTATTCATAATTTTACTTTTAAAATATAAGTATATATTATTGTGTCCTTAAATGACACACTAACAAATATAAGACAATTCAAATATAAGACAGTTAATATTTAAGTGTTCCAATCACTAGTTCCTGGGCTATATATGAGAAAAAAGTATAATGTATTAAGAACTAGATCCTTAGGCCCCAGTAGATACAATATTTTCTTTGAAATTTCTCATTTTTTTCTGTTTGTCTTCTAATTGATAAAAAGTTGCATAATCATTGTGTGCTAAAGAATAGGGCAGTATTTTGAAGGGAAGGGGATAGTGTTATTTTGGCTATAATATTCAGTGACTTTTCAGAATAGTAGAAGATAATATAAAGCTATTGTGTCTTGGAAATGATGTTTCTGGTATAAATTTGAGCTATGGAGAGTGAGCTTTAGTTTTCCCCAAACACAGGATCTGACTATCTTAAGTGAGTGTCTCAATGTAAAAGTCGAGTTGCTAATTCTTCTCTTTCTGTTTTCCAATTTTAGGTTTTAGTATAAAGGCAGTGCCATTCCAGAATGCCATCTTGAATGTAAAAGAACTTGGAGGTATAACTTTTAAAATCCTCTCTACATCTACCATTGACTTTACAAATTTGCTTTTCATGCATTACATGTAACTAAAATGTGATGATTTATTCCAGGTGATTGATTTTTACTTTTTCCTTAATAGTATATTTTATAGTAATATTTTCATCCCTTTACATATGGATTAGCAGTTGTCCTAGACTTGTAATATAAACTTTGCTTTCTTTTCTGTGAATCAAAGGACTACACACTAGTGCGCTGCTATATCATTGCTTTTACTTATTAATTATTCTAAAAGGAAACCTATGAAAACAATCTAAAAAGTAAATAAAAATGAGCTATATAGGGCCAAGAATTGTGGTTAAGTGTGAATTTCTACAGCAGGTTTGATTGTATTCAGTTTTTTTCGAATGTATTTGTTCCGATAATAAATCTTTGCCAATGGGTTCTTTGCTGGCCAGGCACATTTATTGGATAGGCTGTACCCCAAAGCATACATCAGTCAGCCTTTCATTGCATTCTCTGTCTGGCATTTTTTGGGTTGTGTTTTATGTCAGTCAGGGTCTTAACCCATGCAAATAGATTAACAAAGAAATCAGTCAATTCAGTGAACCTACTAAATTCTCTTAACGGCACAAGAAAATGCCGAGTGCCAGAGTTCAGTATAATATCCATGAGTTTAGTGGCTTAGAAAGTTCTCTTCTGTCTTCTTAATCACTGTGTGATGGTGACCTTACCCTGCTTTTTGTTGTTTTTTTTTTTCTCCTTCTCCGTCAAGGTCATTTCTAATTGTGACTTATTTTTAGTGCTGTGAAATGGAAACACACAGTTGTATGCCATCTTGGTAAAGTTTGCTGCCTTCCGATATTGTTCAACAAGTGCTTACTGGCCTTTCCAGGTGTCCCTCAGTGTGACAGCTAACAGTGACTTTTACAGCACTGATATTGAGCAGCATCTGCAACTGAGCAATTAAACGTTTCTCTTAAGGTGCTTGGTGTTACCATTAAACAATAAAATTCTAGGAACATGAATGTTGATCTTAGCTAGAAAGCTGACAAGCAGTAAAACATAAACTTCCTTGAAATAACTTCTGTGTAAAACATTCTAAAACTGCTTAATAGATTGAGTATTTTAATCATGCTTTGGTTTCTGCTATCCATTCTCCCAGTGACAATATTATTTGTAGGCATTTTACAGTCAGAGATCCTAATATAAAATTAGGAGAATCTATCTGTATGGTTTGAAAATTCTCTTGGTTTTAATTATTAGTCTGGGTTTAAAATAAAAAAAAACTTTCATTGAACATTCACCAGTATAAGAAACTGTTGCGAATTGGCAAGGTATTTATGGTATGTTTATTTGGATGAAATAAGTAGTGGATGTTTCTGAACAGTTAAGAAAAACGAATGCATGACATCAACGTTGGTGGTATATCATTGAAATTGAATGCAGTGAAGGTAAAATTGGAGGACCAGGGCTATGTAGGAGAGGAGCATGGTTTTGTTTCCCTCAAGGAAGTTTATTTTCACTTATAACAAAACTGTGCCCTGGCAATTGAGGAGATGAAAATTATAATGGAGAGAATCCCATAGGGTTAGGTGGTACACTTTAATTCATAACATACTGTAAGGAGGTTGAATAACAGGTATAAGACAGAGCCTTGGGCATTGGAATACTTGGCTAGTTCCAGACTAATAATACTTGGGTTTATGCATGTGTTAGCGGGGAAGAGAAAATTTCTGATCCAACCATAGATTACTTTTTCCTCCCTCAACTTTAACAACCCTCCATATTAGGAAAAAGTAGACCACAGAGTGCAATTTGTGTATTCTATTTCATAGCCTCAGAGGCAGGCAACAGAGGGAGTTGATCTTTGATGGGTTGCCCACTTGCTTATTTATTGAAAACTTAGGGAGTGATGTACTCTGTTTGCCTCACTCTGGAAGAGGCATGTGAAAAGCTGGGCTAGCACATATAAAGAAAATTAGCTTTCCTGGTTTTAAAGTATATTCTAGGCACCAAGGGAATCAACATAAGGTGCTGGGCATTTGGGGAGAATTGTAACAGTGAAATTGAGTTGTCTGGGAACTGCTTGACTAAGTATTCCTAATCTCAGGGGGAAAGAGTTGGGTGTTTCAGGACGGCTTTGGGATGGCAGGTGACCTGCATTCACCAGCGCTAGGTTCCTCAGAGATAGGGTCATTGGAATTCAGTCAGTCTGCCAGTATCAGGAAGATGCTAAATTCGCAAGAGAATCTCAGGAAGGTAGTTGACATAGGCAGGCAGCTGATGCTAGCTAAGGACCAAGTGAAGTATAATGAGGAAAACACAGGCAGTTGTCTTCATCCTAGGTTAGCTTGAGAATGGCATGCCCTGTTCCTCCTCAACAACCTGCAGATCCTTTTTTCTCTACCCTTTCAGAGAATTCCAAGGCTTCTCATCACTCCCCTTCCCAACCTTAAATTAAATGTCTTACTGTTTTAAAATAAAAGGACATAAACTGCTGTCTTCTTTATTTAGTAAGGAGAAATGGCACAAGATGAAATAACAATGATTAATGGAGCCAAGTTTAATGGAAGTCACCTCAGGTCATCTTCATAACAAACTATGTATGCACATAAAACAGATCCCTGCTTTGCATATAGGTGACTGTATCATATATGTAAGATGTGTGTGTGTGTGTGTGTGTATCTCCACACCATATCCATATGCATATGGATACATAGTGCTATTGTTCATTTCTAGTTTGTGATTCTCACATCAGTTCCTTTTTACATAGCATTTTCCCAGTTTACACAATCATTCCACCACATTGTTTCTGGGGCTGAGAATAAGTCTAAGTAAGACACAGGCCCTATAGGTTTAGTGATAGAGGTAATCCTGAATATGCCCATAGGAAATTAATGAAAAATTGGAAAATAATGAAGTGAATGGGGACAAGACAAGTACCAAAGTCACAGAGAAATGATGACATAAAGATAGCAATACTGCCTAACAGTATGATGGGCCAGTTCCATTTTTACTGCTCACAACCTACTTGTCACTGCTGCCAGGCGGCACTGATTGTGCCTGTGGTTTTATTAGCACATAATAATTGTATATCATAATTTCATCATGACATTTGTATACATCTATAAAAATATTTTGATCATATTTACCCTCTTTCCCTCTTGTCTCCTTCCCATTTTTGTTGATTCTCCCTCTTCCCAACCTGCCCCGCCTCCTGTCTCTCCCCCAGTGAGTTTAGGTTGACTACAGGAGCTTGGGTGAGGGGATATTTAGGAGCACTTCGGCCTCTTAGCAGTGGCTACGTAACTGAAGAAAATGTCTCCTCACTTCTGCAGCAGCTATGAACTGCCGGCAGCTCCTCAGGGAGAGCTAGGGCCTGTTGAACCACTCTCCAGTCCACGAGGGCGTGCTGAGTGGGCCAGCCTTTTGCAGATGACTGCAGCTGCTGTAAGTTCATAAACTCAAGGACCATTCGCGCCCAGAAGACAGAGTGCTCTACAGCGCACAGGCTCTTTAGTGCGCGCCTTCATGCCATCTCCTCTTGCACGAGCCTTGGGTGGGATAATAGAGTTCTCTGCCTCAGGGCCGAGTGTTCCATGGCCACCTGTTTTAGAGTGCTCTGACCAGTTATGAGTCTCTAGTAACTGCCACCCAGTGCTCTGACCAAAGCAGACTGAAGCTCAGCAACACTAGTGTATGATCATAAACGTTTGAAGGGCAGAGCAGGCCCGTTTAGCAGAACGACAGTTGAGTGATTATGTCTATCCTTGTGTGAAATCAGGACTCTAGGCTTTCTTCTTCTGTATCTCCCTTCCTGTTCTCTCCCTCAGTCATTCTCACTTATCATTGCAGTTTCATGGAGAAAAGGTACTGTTCGTCTCATGTGCAATGAGACACAGAGACTGTGGCTGACAAAGGGCCCTGTGGGAAGCAGATGTCAGTTAATGGACACATGGATGTTTATGTAGTGTACAGGACATATGAGGCATTTTGCACAGTGCATGCACAAGAGAAAGGACTCCTACACACTGTCTCCTGTCTTTTTTATCATTATCTGTGCCACTGAAAGTCCACATGTGTTGGTATTTTTCCTTAGTGTTGCATTCACTGGACACAATCTTGACAAAACACGAATACTTTGTCTTCACCCTAAAACCTTTAATGAGATAGTATCTCATTATACTGGTTGCTTTCACCATCCATTTTTCTTTTTTTCCTGTCACTCTCATGTTTTGGAGTCTTTCAGACCAAACCCGTGTTCTGAATCCTAACCCTGCAGCCATGCTTCTCCCTTCTTTAACTGCTTCTGTGCTGACTTCTGCATGCCACCACAAATGTTTCATTTTCCTATGTTAGCCACTCAGCAAATCTCTCCAGAGGGATATTACTCTCTGGGCTCCTTTCTAGGGAGCTATGGTGGCTGCAGTTAGCAGGGCTGCGCTGCATAATTCAGATGAGAGACTAGAAGAGAGCCCCTTGTGTCCTGCCTACTTCCTTAAAAGCAAGTATCAGTTTCTACAGGACTAGAGGGAATGGCTGGATTCATGCTTTTCTGATCCTGCCTAGCTAAAGTGAGTGTTGACTCCGACCCCACTAAGGGTTTTCCTAGTCTTATGGAGTTGATTTTATCAGTGTGTTCTTTCACTTGAGAATTCTCACCAAAATTAGTGTAAAACTTCTCTCTTTCAGTTTGAGCTCATTAACCTGCTGCTCTTTTGGAGATACAGTCTCACCTACAGTCCAGGCTGGCTTTGACCTTATGGTCCTTCTGCCTTAGGCTCCTGCATGCTGGGATTTGCAGGCCTCTGATCCCTCTTGCTTTCACTTTTCTGGGTATGTCATAGGGTACTTGTCGGATATTCTGGATGGACAGGTGGGTTATTCTTTCAGTGAGTTTTTCTTCATTGTGTTTGATTCTGGGTCCATCCGTATTCCTGAGTATTTTCTTGTCTATAAAATGTGGTTTACAATAGTTTCTATATCAAGTCCTCTTGTGAGGGCTAAATTAGATG